GCGGCGCGGGGGGAAGGGAAGGGGATTCCACTCCGTTTCCATCGCAGAGGTTATGGTGAGAGCCAGGACGCTGAGCCTGGAGCAGCTCACGGGGTGGAGTGAGGGGCTGAGGTTGTGCTGATAGGGGCAACATGAGCTGGAAATTCCCTCCCTAATTCCACACTCCACATCCCTCTGAATCCTTCCATCCTTCCCCAGGATCCTTCCCCAGCAGCCCTGAGCCCGGGACACCCAGTTTCCCTCTCCCCATTGAGTCTCCCACCCAAATGAGTGCAAAAAGTTCAAGGCCAGACACTTCCTCACCGTTTGTGTTTCCATGTTTACCTTGGAATTAACACCAAACCATGGAATAAACACTAAATCTTGGGATAAACACACAATAAAGCCACAACCCGCAGCCTTGAGGAGCTGCTGTGGTGCCAGGGATGACCAGTGGGATCAACTCCTGGATCACACGGAATTCCCTGCAGATTCAGGGCCCCATGCAGGGATCCCTGAGCATCCCAGCTCCACGCAGGGAATCCCCCAGTGTCCCAGCTCCATGCAGGGATCCCTCAGTGGGTCAGAGATTTCCTGCCCTTGAGCATGCGGCGCAGGATGACAGCGATTCCAGCGGGAGTGCTGATCCGTCGGATCCAGCCGTGCGTCCTCTTGCGCTTCCGATTGTTGGGCTGGTACTCATTCCCTCGGGTTCTGCCACGGAGCTGCTGCAGCCCCCATGGCATGGGGAGCCTGGGAAGCAGCTCCAGGGAGGCTGGAAGCAGAGGGAAGTGGCAGGAGGCAGAGCGCTGCCACAGGAAAAACCTTGGGAAAGAGGGAGAAGTGAATGAGAAGAGAGAGGGGAAAGATGATGCTAACAGGGGTATGTAGGAATCTCATCCTGGAATTGTTAAGGCGGGAAAGGACATGAATATCATGGAGTCTAACCTGTCCCCCAGCACTACCAAGGCCACCACTAACCATGACCCCAAGTGCCACATCCATGTGGCTGTTAAATCCTCCAAAGGATGTGACTCCACCACTGTGCCAATGCCTGACAGACCTTTCCATGAGGAAATTCCTCCTGATGTTCAACCTGAACCTCTCCTGGCACAGCTTGAGGCTGTTCCCTCTTGTCCTGTTGTTCCCTGGGAGCAAAGCCTGTTCCCACCTACTGCACCTCCTGTCAAGGAGTTAGAGAGAGCAACAAGGTTCCCCCTGAGCCTCTTTTTCTCAGCCCCTGCATCTCCCTCAGGAGTTCTCCAGACCCTTCCCCAGCTCTGGACAGACTCCAGCCCCTCAATATCCTTGGGAGTGCCCCAAACCCGGACAAAGCACAGAGGGACAACCATTGCCCTGGGCCTGTGCCCACACTGTGGCTGACACGAGCCAAGCGCCATTATCCTCTTGCCCATCTGGACACACCTGAGCTCCTGCCCACCCTCCTTCCCCCCACACACAGCGCCGCCCGTGGCCGCTCTCCCCTCGCTGTCCCCGCTCTCCCCGGGAGGTTGTCCCGTTCCCATCCCTCGTTGCCCACAGGTCACTCCGGTACCTTCCTCCCCCAGCTCTGCCCAGCGCCGCCATTGCGCCGCGCCCGCCAACAACGAGGCGCCCCCCCCAGCCAATCACAGCGCGGCGATCGCGGCGGTCAGAGCCCTCCTCTCGGTGGTGTTGTCATGGCAACAGCCCCAAGTGCGGCCTAGTGGGGCTGTCGAAGCCTTCCTTGGGGTGTCGCCAGCTCTGTCGCGACATGAGGCGCGATGTGCACTCGGAGACACTCACAGGGGCTAGAGGGGATGGAGGGATAGCACCTAGGGAATGGATTGGGTGGGATGTTGGGATGGAATTCCTCCCTGAGAGGGTGGTGAGTGGTTGGGATGGAATTCCCAGAGAAGCTGTGGATGCTCCATCCCTGGGAGTGTTCCAGGTCAGGTTGGATGGAGCTTTGAGCAACCTGGACTGGTGAGATTCCCTGGGAAGGATGTGGAACCCAAACTATTCCAGGATCCCATGATTTCTTTCCTGGGCAATCCCACCTGTATCCCAAGAGCAGGCACAGTTCCCAGCAGGATGATTCCTGGAGCCCATGGAGGTGAGGGATTGTGGCTCAGCCCTCCGAAACCCCAAACTGTGGGAAAACAAACCCAAAAGACACCTGTGATTTCGTGGCTTTGGGTGCATGGGTACTGGTGCTGAGCTCTGACACACTTGTGACACACTTGTGGCAGCCACGGTCATGGCACTGACACACGTGGCACTGACACTCTCATGACATTGTCATGCTCGTGGCACTGACACACATGACATGTTTCATGGAACTGCCATCCTTGTGGCCTCTGGGAAACCACAAACACCAGAATGGTGGAAAGCAAGCTAAAAAGGGAACTATATCCCTCATCTCACTGAAAAGGCCAAACTCTGGGACCACTCCAGCTCCCTTCATCTCCTGACCAGCTCCCCCATCCGTTCACCTGTTTCCCCATCCTTGGACCAGCTCCCCCCTCCCTTGACCACCTCCCCCATCCCTGGATCAGCTCTCCCATCTCTGGACCTGTTCCCCCATCCCTGGACCAGCTCACTCCACCCCCAGACCAGCTCCCCCATTCGAAGACCAGTTACCCCAGTCCTAGACAAGTTCCCCCATCCCTTGACCAGCTTCTCCATCCCTGGACCAGCTCCCCCATCCCTGGACCAATTCCCCCATCCCCAGACTAGCTCCCCCATCCCTGGACCAGCTCCCCCATCCCTGGACCAATTCCCCCATCCCCAGACTAGCTCCCCCATCCCTGGACCAGCTCCCCCATCCCTGGACCAATTCCCCCATCCCCAGACTAGCTCCCCCATCCCTGGACCAGCTCCCCCATCCCTGGACCAATTCCCCCATCCCCAGACTAGCTCCCCCATCCCTGGACCAGCTCCCCCATCCCTGGACCAATTCCCCCATCCCCAGACTAGCTCCCCCATCCCTGGACCAGCTCCCCCATCCCTGGACCAATTCCCCCATCCCCAGACTAGCTCCCCCATCCCTGGACCAGCTCCCCCATCCCTGGACCAATTCCCCCATCCCCAGACTAGCTCCCCCATCCCTGGACCAGCTCCCCCATCCCTGGACCAGTTCCCCCAGTCCTAGACCAGCTCCCCCATCCCTGGACCTGTTCCCCCATCCCTGGACC